TCCACTTGACTTGACCAAGCCATCTGAGATGAGACATTCCTCATTTTTTTTTTCTTTCTCGATGTTACTTTGAGCACGTCTCAAACATACACATTCCTTAAATGATCTTTCTTGCTTACACCATGCATCCATCTCAATATTTGCATTTCTGTGGAATAGATCATTTGCTCTTGTTTCTTCTTTGTTGCCCAACATTCAGTGCCATGCATTAAAAATGCACAAACCACCATTTTAAAGACTTTCTCTTTTAATTTTACCCGTATCCTATTGTCCCATACTACACCACTTATCTGTTTCCATTTGAGCCAGGCATTTATTATCCTAGCTCTAATTTGGTCCTCTGTTTCCCCAGATCCTGGAACCCATACTTCTGGATACTTGAAAACTTTGTATTTTTGATATTGTCTGTTCAGCTAGTTTTATGGATAATTCTTCAGTGTTCACAATATTAAAATAACATAACATATATATACATACTCTGTTCTTCCTCTGGTTAGTTTGAGCCCGTTTCTGTCCAACACATCTCCATTTATCAAGAATCCTCTTCTAGACTATCTATCATCTGTAAACAACATGCACTAAGCTATGCGCCTTGTGCAGGTACCCAGCATGAGGCTAAACAAGAAAGGGCTCACTGTTGATCCCTGATGCACTCCCACCTTTCTGATAGTTCATCTGTTTTACCATGGGGAAGTTTGGATCCAGATGTAAATTTTGCTGCTCGGGCTCTGTATTATCTGAAAGTCATGAATAAATGGGATTAGCCAGCACTATCTATGTTAGCAGAACAGAGCTGTTCCAGGGGGATACAACTTAAAGATGTAATTGCTTAGATTCTGTCTGCATGGCAATATAGCCTAGAGTTCTGTTAGTAAATATTAACCTTTTTAGACAACTTTTTCTTGTATGTTAAATGTATTTGCATATTAACTATTATCCCAGAATCTTTATATTAGCAAAGAGTGTGTTTACATTTTAAGGCCCAGAGCGTTGGTTCTTAACATGTGAGTGACCTGTACTCAGGATTTTTTATCTGATTAAGTGCTCAGCTGTATCTAATTATGCTCAGCATCTCCAAGTCTGTGGAATATAGGTGTCCAGGGAAAAGACCCCCTCAAACTAATAAAAGTATCTACAGAAAAGTTTGTTATAAATAAAACTGGGAGATTGATAAGGGATATTTGTTACGGCAGATGTTTTCTGTAAGGGACTGGGTGATGAATATGGAATAATTTTTTTTTTTACAGAAGGGTTCTGAAATGGGTGAACCAATAACCCACTGAAAGATGTTTTTAACTCATTAAGAACTGTTGATTTCACAGCAGTTAGTAATAATGATTGGGTTAGAGATTCCTTTTTTACTCATCAGTCAGATAAGCTGAGGATTATGAAAAAAATTCCATCAGTAATTAGGAAAACAGAACACATGATAAAAATTAATAATGGGGAAGTATTTTCCCTCCAAAAAGGAGTTTCTTTGTCTCATACCCTATAAAAGGACAGAGGTTTGGGGAGTTAGACTAAGAATAAACCCTGTCAGAATTCCACGAGGTACAGTTACAGGGACCAAACTACCCTCTCTTCACCATCTACAGGGTTATGTCTTCTTTCTGTATTCCATATAGTGCAGAATTAATCTTTGAGCCTATTTGACAATCTCAAATAATTATTAAATTCAAATACACAACAGTTCATGTTAGAAGATTCAGAATTTAACATCCTAGAACTGTCTCCCATCTCACTGAATTTGGGACCTGTTTAGAGCATTCATATCTATAATAGCTTGCTTTATGCCAAAACTAAAACATCACAGGTTTAATCAGATTCAGTTTATATTGAAAATATTTTCTTTCCGAACTATTTGTTATATTCTTCATAATTTGTATGATTTAAAGTACATATGAGAAGATGGATTTTTCTAATTTCATATTGAAAATATTATGCATTTTGCCACTCTCATATGGTACATATACATTTTGCCAGTGTCAGGATATTTACAGGATACATGTAAGAAACAACATGTAAAAATAGACTGACATGGAATTCTCAGCCAGTCAAAATGGCATGACTATAATAGTTGGGGTTTTAACCACTTATATAATCCGTTGTGATTTGCATAAGCACTCTGGCCCAGTTTGTGTGATTAACATACAGGCCAACCTTGGGAGTGGTATGGAGCTACATAACCCCAAGGGGAAGGTCAGGAAACATTTAGGCCCTGGGGTTGAAACATTTTGGCCTCAGACCCATCCAGCTCAGATATGATTATTAAACATGAAACATCCTCAAGTTATTATACTGGAAATGAAATGAATTGGCCAATGAAAACTGGCCAGCTTTTTAATACTTTGTAGATCAGCACATAGGAATGGGTATGAAAAATATTACTTCTCTGTAATTTCTTCAGATATGAATTAAGCAATAGTATGGTGCTGTATGTTTGAGATTTTCAATTCAGCTTGTACACATTAAATATATTCATACACAGAATTTAAATAATTCTAATCCCAAAAGCTTCTGTAGTATTTTCACAAACGTGGATTGTTCTGCATGTTTAAATAGCCCAGTCTTCTCAAGTTTAAGTAGGAAGGAAGCTAGCCCTTAACAATTCTTTCACAGCACATCAAAGGAGTTAAAACACCAATTTTAACGGGAGAAGATTCTTTGATGTCTACTGCTGTGATTTTCACAGTTACAATGAGAAAACTAGCCAGTGAGGAGCTGTGAATAATTATAGGGCTGATGAAACATGGCAAAAGTTTCAAGGTTGCTAAGTGGTTTATAACAATTTTGAAGAATAGAAAGCCCAAGCCTGGAACAAGGTTTACGTTGAAAAGAATAAATAAGCTGTTAAGAACCACTTCTATTGTTTAGTTATTATCTACTTTTCCATACTACCTGTTGTTCTGATGATTCGTGTACTGCCCAAATGTTTTAGAAATAGTGGCATAGCCTATATGTCTGCCAATGACAGTTTAGGCTTGAGTCCCCTTCACAAGTCTCAAATGATAAGGAGTATTAACAGAGAGACAAAGTGGATGAGGTGATATCTTTTATTGGACCAACTTGTGGTGGGGAAAGAGACAAGCTTTTGAGCTTACATGGAGCTCTCCTTCAGGTCACTGAAGTTGATCCAGTAAAATATATTACCTCACCCACTTCATCTCTCTAATGTCTTGGGACCAACACAGTTACAACTACACTAGTTGTACAACTAAACAAGTATTATTAGTAGTCTTTTAGGTTCCCTATTTGAACAGTGTGTATGGTGAAGATATACTATTGTGATGTACCAGGCTTTTTCTTCCTGTCCTTTCCTGTAGCTGGGTAAGTCTTTAATTAAAAGAACATGAGCGGGCCATATCAGATTAATATGGCCACTTACAGACTAAAGTGTGAGCTAATTTTCTTGGTGTTTTTCCCTATGTGATACTTTGCCCCACACATCCACCACTCCTGGTCATTTTAAAGGGAATTTGATTTTGTCTGTGCACCAATATGAAGCTTTCTAGCTTGTGTAGAATGATATTAAGGAGAGCCTGGTATGTTTTTGTTCCATGAGTTTGTATATGATGTAGATATTTGTATGTTTATGAGCAACTCGGACTTTCATTCCAAGGAGCACTGCTCTTATTTTGTTAGGCCTGTGAGGACACTCAGTAAGCCCTCACCGTTATGCAGATGTAACTGTTGTTGGGGAGCTGGGGATCATTCAGATCACATGAATCATCAATTGCATGATGCTCTCCCATGAACATTTGCCAATGCTAGGGAAGAACATGAACAATGGAGGGGTGGGAAATAATCCGACTGCTCTAAAACAGTGGATACGAATCTTTTGTGTTCATCATCTACCACAGTTCTCCTGGCTGTGGAGCTGGTGAGGGATGGGCAAAATGTAGGATTAGTTCACACAGTTGGCAATTTTTATTTTAGTTGTATGTAGGATAAAGATTTACATCAAACATGGTTATCTAAAATTAGGCATTATGTGTCTCCAGAGTACTATGCCCATATTTACAAATTGCCAGTTTCTTTGGAATATAATGGTGCACAGGTTGATAAGTTCTCTTATTTTTGACATTTCCAGATCAAATCAAGGGTAAAATCCTATATTTTAGGCCTCAAGAAGCATCCATGGACAATATTTGGAATTTGCATGAGTGGCGTCCTTTCCACCATTTCTGTAACAATGGTGATCTCCACCATCACATACTGGAAAAGTGTGAAAAGATCCAGACTTCATCCTCAGGGCAAAATCCGAAAAATTATACGGGGACCTCCAAAGCGCTCAGTGTGCTAAGCTGCAAAATGAACTGTTCATTCATTTGTCCTTAATATGCCACATATAGTGCACATTAGCTCTTATTTAGTTTTTTTTAAAACAAAAATCTTGGTCGACTCAGGTCCATTACCTCAAACAGTTTTGTTATGTCTGTAAAAGAGTACTAGAAAACAGAATGCAACACAGATCTGCTAGAGACTTATTGTGTACATTGCAATCAAAAAAACACGGTTGCCTCAAAATATCTTTAATGCCATATTCAGTAACAGTCCCATAAACTGTATCATGTGCAGATCTTCTCAAAAGATTATGTCCCACTTATTGGGATTCAACAGTATTGTTCTTTCTTTTAAATTAATTCTAAAATACAGCATAACAGTTCAGCTGCATATTGCAGAGCTAATTCTTCTCTTAAATACTCCAGTATTACACAGGATTGATCCAAATCATTGCAGTAACATCACTGTAAGCTTCAGTGTTTGGCCATTACAGTACAATACTGTAGGGATTTCTTTTTGTCCAGTTTGGTATTAAATCTAAATGACCCAAATTCAAAGGTAAAATAATCAAATTGGTTATTTTATTTATTTTTTTTTACAAAAAGACAACTTATCTTGGTCAACCGTCATAACTACATATTTTGGACAAATGAAATTATAGAATCTCTGTCTGTCCCATAGAGTAAGTCACATGTTCTCTTTGTACTCTTTTACAGACTCTTCACAAAGGGCCAATGGCCGCCTTTTTGATGCAAACTAAAGATAACCCCATGAAAGCCTTAGGAGTGCTAGCTGGTGTCATGGGCGTAATGGTGGTGATCACAATCATGATCTCTACTGCCATGTTCTGGCGCAATAAGAGATCCAACAAAATCATGCCGGTGAGACGGATCATAAAAAAGAGACAGATCCATCAACCCAGGACGGTCAGGATGGAGTGGCTGAAATTCAAGTGGTCCAGCAATCCTGCCGAGAAGTTTGCCATTGAGGATGACACACAGAGTCTGCAGAATGAGAACAGCAACAATAATGTCCAGGTGCCCACTCTGCCACCTACTGCCCCAGCCCTGCCCCCTCCCCCAGTTTTAGTGCCCAAGATAAATACCACTGAGTGGAGAGTGACCACAGTGTCAGGCTCCCTAAGCCCCAAGTTTATAAACAAGCCGGGGAAGAAAAAGGGCCCCAGCAGCACTCACCATGCCCTGGTGTCAGAGCTCAAACAGAAGTTTGAAAAGAGGAACATAACCAGCAACAACCCCCATATTTAGTGCATCTGCAGCAGCCAGTCATGGAGATCACATAGCCATGCAGTGTATGGCGAGAGGTGCATGGTGTTATTGATCTTTTCCATTTGTTTCAATACAAAATGAACTAAAAGCAGTTCCCCACTGCTACAATCACCTGTTACTTTGCACAAGTATTACATGCTAATATATTTTGCAATGGAATTAGTTCACATATAATATCGGTGTCAGTTGCTAGAATTTTATTCAGATCATTTCTAAAAACTAGTTTCCTCCCTGCACTGTATGACCAAGGTGCTAATTGTCCTGATGTAGGCGATAATTTTCAGGAGGGGCCAGTGATTTGGGGGGTGTCCAACTTGAGACTCTTTTTCAAGAGACATGATTGTCAGAGGAGCTGTGCACCCCCAACTCCAGTTGATGTCAATCCTTATCAGGGCTGGAAGATAGCCACCATGGTGCCTAAAACTGGGCATTTAAAATCACACCACACTTGAAAATGTTGACCTTCTTGTAGAAACAGCAACATTTTAGCATAGGAGGTTATTTTTTTTTAATTTAGGCAAGCTGTTATTCTCTGAGTAAATAACTTATAAATGGATACTTACACTCTTAGGTGTACGCCACATTTTGCAACAGCTTGTGAAGCGATGTGCTTAGAACTTAAGTATACTTGATCCCAGATATGAACAGTCGGGCTTTGAGAAGTTTTTCGTTTTCATGCAGCTTACACTGGATTTTGCCAGAGCAGCTTTGACATAATGCTTTTCTCCATTTCTCAGCCAAACATCCCTGCCAAAGGAAAGTCCCACTCATTCTTTCCAAAAACAGTTAGTGATGGGTCCAAATATGGAAAGTGTAGCATCTGCAAGAGGTGGGGCTAGTGCTAATTCAGTGCTGCTCCCTGCAGGTAGGGCACCCAACAATGGGGGAGAAGCAAGAAGTGATTAAAGCAGGAAGACTGAAATGTAAAAACGGAGCAAAAAAATAGACATGAAAAGTACGAGGAGCCTCCTGGAAACTGGGTCAGGAACGTGTCTTTAAAAAAACTTTCCATTTTGACCCAAAACATTACTGTCCTAATTATGCTGCAATTAAAAAGCTACTCTCATTTGCAGCTGAAGCACCTATTTTTTTTTCTGCACTTTGTAGCATGGCAATAAAGGGTCTAACCTAGGATTACCCTCTTTCTTTAGTATTGTTAAAGGAAAGCTCTTTACTCATTTCTGAATGGGTGAAATTAACAATGCAGAAGGGAGCAGGTAAAGCTGTTTTTCTGTATTCCTGAAATGAGCACTGACTACAGTCTGGCTGCTTTGGATCAATCCAGCAAAGCAGCTGTAACTGCAGTTTAACTAGCAGCTTAAGGCAGGTTAACAGTGCCTTTGCCTCACTGATTTGTTAAAAAACAGTTGGCCGGTATTACTGAGTGTAGCACCTTGTTTCCAACTCCAAGGCTGAGGCCAAAGGTGACACTTTTAAAAGTTTGCTCTCTCGGACACAGTCATTATGTGGGACATTGTACCACAGTGTGCTAATGCTATGACACAAACATCACAGTGTCATGTTACATTGGCCCCAGAGATATTTCAGACTCCTCTTGGTGTCACTGAAGCATACAGGGCTATGCCATGAAAATCAGGATGGGTGGCAACCCCAAGCCAGAGGAAGGTGAAGTATTCTGAATAACCATCTCTCTTCTAACCTACTATTTTGTTGGTTATATTGCATCGGCTGCTGACCTATAGACCTGCTGGACCTATTGATCTGACCTAGTTCTGGGTCCATGGATCCCTCCTTAACTTCTTTATCCCTAAACCATCATATAGTCCCTTTTCTCTACATCTGTCATCCCTGCATGACTGCCCATTGCATCACATTTTCTCCATCAGGGAAGGTGAGATGAGCCATCTGCCCTAGGGTAATGTCTATGCCACGCCTGAAATGACTCAACAGATGGTGTCAAAGCACTGCAGTTCTCTATATGTTTCCTCCTGTCTGCCCACATCTCTCCCACCCCATCAGCTCAAACACAGCATGGCTTGCAGCCTGCAGCTGAGCTCCCACAGTCCCTAAAAGGATTGGAATGTGTTCCCTAAACTAGAGCCTCAAATAATTGTAAAAAATCTTGGCCCACAATTCTTGGCAGCAGTACCAGGAATTATAAGTGAATGTGTAATCTTCAGTAGGCTATTCCTATAACCACACTTCACTGCCTGCTTTTAGGCCCTGTTTAAAGCCACGTATTCTTTTCAGCAGCACAATTGAGGCCTGTCTCACTAAGTTTCAGACCTTTGTAAAATAGCCATTTGAAGTCACTCCGTTGTAGGTTTGACAGTTGGGTTCAAGCAGGTACACTGAAACTTAGCTTCGCTTTCAAAGTATTCCCTTTGGGTCGATCTGTCTCCATGCTAGAAAAGACAAACAATATGACAGATGCTTTGACTGAAGCTCACAGCCGTAGATATGCACGATAACCAGAGAAAGCAGTGGCACAAAAAAACCCTTTTGAAATGCACTTAGAGCCAGTTTAACCAATTCCCTTGCAAATATATTATAAATCTTGGCTGTGATTTCCACCCATTTCCACCAATGTGACGCCATTGGCTAGCGCCTGGGTTAGCCTGGCAGGCAGAGAAGCAGTTCCATCCACACTGTGAAGGCTCCAAACTCTTACTACTACTAATTTCTTGATAAATTTCTCATAAAAGGAGGGAATATTTTATATTTCACTTTTTGACCTGGGGCAAGTGGTATTTCCAAAGGGCTAGAGATAGGTATACAATATACTGTGAGAAATTGCACAGTGACGTACACAGTACTTTGGGACTATGGGCCTGAGTCTCTATTCCATTATATCACTACAGCGACACTGACCTAAAACTGGTGTAAGAGGCTGGAGAGTCATACCTTCTATAAAAACAATGCGGAGTCCTTGTGGCACCTTAAAGACTAACACATTTATTTGGGCATAAGCTTCCATGGGCTAAAACCCACTTCATCAGATGCACAGAGTGAAAAATACAGTGAGCAGTATAAATATTACAGCACATGAAAAGATGGGAGTTGCCTTACCAAGTGGGGGGGTCAGTGCTAAGGAGGCCAATTCAATTAAGATGGAAGTGGCCTATTCTCAACAGTTGACAAGAAGGGGTGAATATCAAAGAAGGAAAATTTGTTAGTCTCTAAGGTGTCACAAGGACTCCTCATTGTTTTTGCTGATACAGACTAACATGGTTAACACTCTGATACCTTATATAGCAACAAAAGATAGGATTTCTGCCTATCTACCTGCAAAGCAATTGTTTACAGCCACCAGTGTACTAATTACTGGAGCTATTTCTGTTTGAATTCTTACATTGAAGGGTGTGGGGAGATTGCTTCATTGAAGTCTAGAAATGAGGATTACATAGTACCGAGGGATACCAGTGTGGATGTTTTATTATGCAAAACAATTAAGAAGCATTTGCTGTGCAGTAGAACTGTGCAAAGAATGGTTGAGTAGGGAAAATGTAACTTTGAAACACTTACTTGAAACAGAGTTTAATTGGGCTTTTGCTATTCCCCACTAGGCAAATTTATAGAACTGGAGCATGTTTTAAAAGAAATAGTGGCTTGTAACAGTGGTGACGACTAAGACACATAGCACAAAACACTACAGGCAAAATTCTCTGCTGGCATCCCTCCACTAAGTCAGGTGGCAAGCCTATTTTTTTTTCTATTCAGCTCTGGTTGCTATTGTCGTTGCTGTTGCTTCTGGCAACTTTTCCCCTGCTTCTTTCATTTCTTCATCTTTGTTATCTTGCACAACGCACAACAGTATATTGTTTGCTCTTGTTCTTTGGGTTCTGCCTAGACTTGAAGGACCAGTTCATCAGCTTGTGTAAATCCGCCTGAGTTCAGATGAGCAAGGCCAGTTTACACTACCTGAGGATCTGGCCCCCTGTTCTGGACAATTGCAACCCTATTTCTTCAATTTTTGCCTAAATGTTCAGCTTCTTTAGGGCACCATTTACTAAACAACAGTGAGCAGCGTTTGCACAGCTCTACTCTAGAGTCCAGGCCCCACCCCCACAAATAGTGAGGTAACATCATAACCGCACAGGGAGGAGCACTCTGTATTGGTACACAAATGTCTGTGATGACTTGAAGTAATGATCTGTACATTTCATTTGTTATATTTCTGAATCTGTTTATACAACATTTCATAAAGTACCAAAAGCTAATAACTATTGTCTGGACCCCTGTCTTCATGATGATGTATTTATAGCAGTATTTATTGTTCATTCTAATATGATGAAGCCCTGTAAGGACCATTTAATTAAATGAGACTTAACAGGAAATATAAGATAATAGTCTTAAAGAAACATTTAAAGAAAAAAAGATGGTTTATTATATATTGTGAGACTTTTTTTTCCCCAATGAATACAGGTATTCTTACCAGTTACACTGTATTCCAGATCTTTTTATTAATAAAATCCATAAAAGGTACCCAACGATTATGGCATCAGTGTTTTCTGTTTCTCTTGGCAATGGCATCGTTCCTATTTTTTTGCTGCTTTTAGCTTAAGTTTTAGGACACTATAAAAAAGGCAACTTCGTGGTTGTCTTTGTGCAGCTGCAAGTCAGACAGTTTTCTTTGATGACAAAAAAGAGGTTGGGGGAGGAAAGGGTTAACTCTGCAGCACCATTCATAGGAAAGTGGTTCTCTTCTGCTGCCTGTCAACAGCAAAATTTGCAGGTTAAGCTCCATGTTGCAGAATCTTTTCTGCAGGTGATAAATAGGAGGGTGAATGGCTTTAAAAAGCTAGCTGAATTCTAAAAGGCAGACCTGGCAGCTAGAAAAAAAAACAGCTCTTGATGCAGACACTGAGCAAATTTGATACAGAAATGAAATTACTACTATTATGTAATTATATTTGGAACCCCACTGCCTATGTACTTGTGATAATAAGTGCGTGTGGAGGTCCAGTTTCACAAAACCGGTTTATTTCTTTAAAAGATGGATTTTTTTAAAATTATTATTTTTTAATGACCTAGGCATGAGTTAATGGACTTTACTCAGTGTTTATTACTGTTTCACCTGTCTCAAAGTAGAACTTGATAAATGGTTTAGAAGCTCTCTATGAGCTAAGATCAAGCTCTTTGAGCTGTGGTCAAGTGAAAAATTCTCTACGTTTTATCTTCTATATATTCCTCTGTACCTGTAGTATTTCCTGTAACCTCCTACACTAATATTGCACTAATATAGCCTACATTTCCCACAGTAGCATAACAGAGGGTCTGTTCTTTGGTTTTGGCTGCGAGACGCCATCATCCAAAGAGTTAACTGATGAAAAGGGCAGAAATTTTGGCGGTGCTGCAACATCACAAGATTGACACTGTAGGCCCAGAGCCTGCCTTCAGCAGGGTTTAGCGATCCACTGACCAAGTACAGCAGCAAATTTGTAAAGACATATGTAATATACTGGAAATTGGGATCATTAAAGGGTCTGACAGTTCATGGATCTCACCACTTGTTATGGTGCTGAAGAGAGACAGGACTATAAGGTTTTCTGTTGAGTATATAAAACTTAACGGTGTCACGGTACTTGACACCTATCCTAGGCCCAGAATTGTTGACATGTTAGATGCTTTAGGCACTGCAAAAATACCTCACGTACTGTGGCCTTGATTAAAGGCTATTGGCAAATACCTTCAGTGACGCATGGAGAAAATCCACTACCTTTTGGGTTAATTAATGCAGGGGCCACCTTTCAGTCAAGTGCTAAATGCATTACAAGACTTTGCGTAGGCTTATATAGTGTGTGTGTGTGTGTGTGTATGTGTGTGTGTGTGTATATATATATATATATATATATATATATATATA